ATTTATTGTGTATTACTGCCGTATACTGGTATGCATTACGCATTACCTGAACCCCTTGTAACAACATACCACAATTTTACTTTTTATTTTTATTTCTGATAATGTTCCCTTAATATCAGGATTGTTTGAAGTGAGTAAAAATATTATTACTAGGTGGTTTGATGGTGAACTGACAAATTAGCCTACTGATACATCCCACAGTCCATCCAACTCCATTATCTGGTGTACCTTAGCCTACCACTGCTAAGTGCCATTATTGGGCCATACACAGGAGCTCTGATTATTGTCTAGTATTGAAACACCTCTCTAGGCTTAGGCTGAGGCCTATGACCTATTTTGGGGAAAAAACAAAATAGCATCTTCAACACTGTAAAATATGGTATCATCTTTTTGTAAGTAGTGATCATGATTTTTGGTACATTACAGTACAGTACTGTGTTTAGACTTGGGTCCCATTCCCATGCTGTCCCATTTTTATAAATGCAAATATACAAAGATTCCAAAATCTGAAAAATCTGAAATCCGAAGCACTTCCGATCCCAAGCCTTTCGGACAAAGGATTCTTAACCCTTACACTGTCCAAATGTAGATCTACATTTACCCGTGTAGCACTCTGAACGTAGTTCTATGTTTTATTTTACATTTGAAGGAATGTAAAATAAAATGTAGATTTACGTTCGGAGCGCTACGCGAGTGAATGTAGAAATATGTTTGGACAGTTTAAGAGTTAACTGTACTGTTATTCATACATATAGTTAGTCTGATTCCTCCACTTTCTCATCCAGAGTTTTCACTTTCTAACAATCTTTAGATGAAAAGAAAAATACTTTCTAAAATGCCAGTGATTCATTTGCATCTTTACCCCATAGATAACCCCCAATCATCCCCTGCCAGTTTGGTTTCAGGCTAAATAAAAGTACAAATTATGTAACTATAAAAATGCTTGACATACTTTATGCAGCTCTTGAGAATAACAAATATCCATTGGGCCTCTTTATAGACCTCAAGAAAGCATTCAATACAGTAGACTACAAAATCCTGCATGCTAAACTAGAACATCATGGTATCAAAAATTATACACTTGCTTATCTAAAGTCCTACATGAATAACAGATACCAATATTTCCATCAATGGCACAACCTAGTCAACAAGACCTATCGACATGGGGTACCCCAAAGCAGTGTTCTCGGCCCTTTGCTTTTCCTCACATACATCAATGATCTTCAAATGCATCTCAACAACCTAGGCCTGTTCTGTTTGCAGACAACACAACTTTTGTCATCTTCCACTCAAATCCAAATTCTCAATAACACTGTCAATGAGCGTATCAAAGATATCTGCCTGGATAACTACAGTGAACCCCCAGATTTAGCAGTCGACGGATTTCATAATTTTTGAAAATAGTCACTTTTTTTTATCAAAATATTGGCTTGGTAATCGTCACTGAGCTCGGTAAGTCATTCCTCCCGAACATGTCCGTGCAGCCCGAGCAGCCCAACACACCATTTACAGGCAGTGCGGTATTGTTTACCAGCCAGTGAGGGCGATCCCATGCATTCATACATTTTGTATTATTCCATTCTTTTTAGTGCTTGTAACTGCTAAATGAGCCACCATGGGCCCAAAGAAAGCTTCTACTGCCAGCCCTTTGGTAAAGGTGAGAAACACTATAGAATTCAAAAAAAGACATCATTGCAAAATCTGAAAGTGGAGTGCATGTTGCCAAGCTGGCCAGGTTGTATAACAAACCCCATACAACCATTGCTTCTATTGTGGCCAAGAAAAAGGAAATCAAGGAAGCTGTTGTTGCAAAAGTTGCAAATATGCTTACAAAACAGAGATTACAAATACTGGAAGATGTGGAGACTGTTGTTGGTGTGGATCACTGAGAAACAATTATCAGGAGATAGTGTTATGCAGTCAATAATTTGTGAAAAGGCAAGGCAGTTGCATGATGATCTCGTAAAGAAAATGCCCAGAACTAGTGCTGATATTGGTGAATTTAAGGCCAGCAAAGGCTGGTTTGAGAGATTTAAAAAGCATAGTGGCATACATAGTGTGATAAGGCATGGTGAGGCTGCCAGTTCTGACAAAAATGAGGCTGAAAAATATGTTCAGGAATTAAAGGGGTACATAGAGGCTGAACAATTCAAATCCCTATAAGTGTTCAACTGTGACGAAACAGGCCTCGTTTGGAAGAAAATGCCAAAGAGGACCTACATTACTTAGGAGGAAAAGGCACTCCCAGGACACAAGACTATGAAAGACAGGCTAACCTCATGTTCTGTAGTAATGCTAGTGGGGATTTCAAAGTGAAGCCTTTACTGGTGTATCACTCTGAAAATCCCAGAGTGCTCAAGAAAAACATTGTTGCCAAGAATAAATTGTGTGTGATGTGGAAGGCAAACAGTAAGGCATGGGTCACAAGAGACATTTTCCTTGATTGGTTCAATGAAGTGTTTGGCCCCAGTGTGCAGAAATACCTCCTGGAAAATAAACTGGAACTCAAGTGCCTCCTGGTAATGGAAAATGTTCCTGCTCATCCTCCAGACTTGGAAGAGCATCTGGTGCAGGAGTTTCGTTTCATTAAAGTGAAGTTCTTGCCCCCTAATACCACTCCTCTACTCCAGCCCATAGACCAGCAGGTCATTTCAAACTTCAAATAACTGTACACCAAAGCAGTGTTTCAAAAGTGCTTTGAAGTGACCTCAGACACTGAATTGACCCTAAGAGAGATCTGGAAAGATCACTTCAATATCCTCCATTGCATAAACCTTATAGATAAGGCTTGGAGGGAGTGACTTCCAGGACTTCGAACTCTGCTTGAAGAAAATTGTGGCCACAATGTGTACAAGAGAGGGATTTTGAAGGGTTTGGGGCTGACTCCGAGGAGCCTATTCCAGGTGTGGAAAGTATTGTGGCATTGGGGAATTTCATGGGATTGGATGTGAGTTTGGAGGATGTGGAAGAGTTGGTGGAGGACCACGATGAAGAGCTAACCACTACAGAGCTGCAAGAGCTTCATCTGAAATAGCAACAGACCACAGCTCAGGAAATTGCTTCAGAGGAGGAAGAAGAGAGATGGAGGAAGGTGCCTTCTTCAAAGATTAAGGAGATTTGTGCAATGTGGACAAAGGTGCAAACATTTATGGATGAACTTCACCCTGATAAAGTTGTTGCAGGTTGTGTTGGCAACATGTACAATGACAATGTTGTGTCCCATTTTAGGGAAGTTTTAAAGAAATGCCAGATACAGACCTCTCTGAAACACTATTTTAGTGACAGGGGTCCAATGACTCAAGCTGGTCCTAGTGGCATTAAAAAACAAAGAAGGGAAGTAACCCCAGAAGAGGACTTGGTACCTGAAGTCCTTATGGAAGGGGATTCCCTTTCCAAACAATAGTACACCTCCACCCTCTCCCCTCCTCCCATCTCATCACTCATCAATAAAGGTAAATGTCATTTTAGTATTGTTTTATTCTGCATGTCTCATTGTTTTCTGTGAAGGGAAATGTATATTTCATGTAAAAAAAAAATTTTTTTTTAATACCTCTGGGTGTCTGGAACAGATTAATTGGATTTACATTACATATTTCTTATGGGGAAAAATTAATTCAGAAATCGTCAGATTTGGGTTTAGTCACTCTCCCTGGAACGGATTAATTACGAAAACCGGGGATCCACTGTACCAATAAACTTACTCTTAAGTGATAAAATTTTCTACATGATGTTTGGGAACAGAGCTGCAAATGTCCAACTAAATGTTGTGATTAATGGTTCTCCCATTGCAAGACAAAACGAAGGAAAATTCTTAGGACTGTACTTGGACAGCAACTTGAAACTCAACATCCACATTCAGCACATAACAAAAAAATATAACCAAATCACTTGGCATCCTCTCCAAAATAAGTTACTATGTGCCTCAAACAGCACTATTTGCATTATACTACTCTCTAATCTATCCTTTCCTTATCTATGGTGTTTGTGCCTGTATTATTGTCAATTTCTTTGTTACTGGGAGAGGAAGATGGGGAGGTCCTCTCCACTGGAGATGGCCTAAGGAAGGGTAGATCTCATGTGAGTGGGGTGGGGGCTGTTGTTCTATTATTGGGTATATGGTGTGTGGGTTGGAGTGTTGTAAGTTGAGTGATTTGAGAAGGAAGGGGTGGATGAAGAGAGGTAAGAAGGATGGGTCAAAGGGAAGGAGAGATGGGAAGTGTATATGACAGGAGAAAAAATGTGGATTGAGAAGGAAATGTGGCTGGGCAGGAAGGCGAATGAGTGGAAAGAAAAAGAAGACTGGAAAAATGAACAGTGGGGGAGCAAGGGGAACAAAGAAGGTAAGTGAGGGAGGGGAACAGTGAAAGACTGGGTGCTGGAGAGAGAGAACTGGCCAGGAAAAAAAGTGCTGGTGTGAGGAGTGCATTGTCACTGGTTCAGTGCTCCATCACTGGCATCTTACTGTCTAATAAATGTGAGATGCTGCTCTCTCTCTCTCTTGCGAGTTTAATCCTGGTCAAGAAGAAATGCTTGAATCTGTCAGAGGTCTTCAAAGCAGTGTGGCCATAATTATTTTGACCAGAAAAATTGTGTCATTTGCTTGTTCACCTCTGGTCCCCTATTACAAACTTCTTATTTTCCTAATCACATATACCACCCTTTCATTTTGATTTACTTCCCACTTCAGAAAGACTGAATTATCAGTTCTCTACTTCTCTCTCTTTCAGTAAGACAAGGAACGTTTCCTATAATTCACAGAACAGCCACTAGACTAAACTGGATTTTCATAAAAAGTTTGGCTCTATGACCATGCATGTTTTAAAATTTAAATAAATTTGAAGAGAAAGCTGAAATGATAAGCAGACACAGTAATTGAGGGTGTAACTCACAATCAGAGCTAACATTAGAGCACTGTTGAATACTAACAAGATGAGACAAAACTGAGCCACTGAGAGCTATCTGATAAATGATTAGTTTATCAGCATGGTCAGGAATATCACCTTTCACAGCAGATTTCTTTGTAAATTTTGGCATTGTTATCTCTGTGAGGTCCCTGGAAGTGGGACTACCCTCATGAGCATCAGGTATGGAATTGGACTGGATCGACGACTTCTTTTCTGGAGGTGGTGGAGCTGGCACTTTCTTCTCTGGAAGAGGTGGTGGTGGCTCTTTGTCTGCAAGTAAATTTATCTTAAATACAAAGAGAGCATAATGTGTGAAGAACATGCAGTGCTCAACTAAAGAGCACAATGTGCACTTAACACAATAATACACCTACCATCTGACTTACGACCGAGTTCGGTTCCGAGAAACCGGTCGTAATTCGAAATGGTCGTAAGTCGAACTTTACTACTGAATATCAACAAAACATTTTTGTAATGACCTTATTTTATTGTTTTATTTCGGTATTTCATGTTTTACTTTACTTTTTATGCTGTTAGTACTGTATTTTATACTGTAAGGTTTAGGATAAACACTGTGTACAACACAAATAGTTGTTTAATTCCCAGAAGTTTGGCATAAAAAACACGGCCGTAAGTCGGATGGTAGGTGTAATAATAATAATAATAATAATAATAATAATACTTTATTTCAGCATGATACAATGCTTGTACAAAGGTGAATGACATTTATGTGTGCATGCAGAAAGTGCCTTTATATGTAGAACATTTCGGGCAAACTTAATCCTTTCAGGGTCAAGAGGCCCTCTCCTAAACTTGTTCTCAGGGTTGAAAATTTTTCAAAAAAAAAAAAAAAAATTACTTTTTCTTATGAAAAGATAAAGAATCTTTTCCTGATCAAAATGACACCAAAAGTATGAAAATTGATGGAAAACTTACGGAATTATGCTATCGCGAAGTTAACGGCCTCGACGATGTTTATGCATCGACGATTTCGCCCACTTTGAGCCCTATTTTCGGCCAATTCCAGTGTACTAGTCGACAAAAATCTTAACTATTTCGCTAGAACTCCATTTTTTCTATCGAATGAGTACAAGAAACCACCCATTTACCGATTTCAATTATCCAATAAAGTGGTCAGAATTTAGCAATTTTGCCAATTTCACACAAATTTCAAAAGATGCCAATTTCCAAAAAGGGTCCAGAATAAACAAGAAAGACATTCCTGGCACTAAAATAACATTTCCTCTGTTCATTAGTCATGTGCCCATGCCCCTCTTTCATTCTTTTGCTTTCCACTTTGAATTTTTATTCTCACAAAAAATAGAAGATTTACCATTACGCAGATTACTGCATTAGTGTAGAGATGGTATAAATAATATCAACGCACTTGTGGAAGAATATCAGACTCACCAGCTGACGTGTATTGGGCACGTAGCATGATTTGTTTACTTTTGAACTTTGGCAAAAATCGAAGATTTCTGCTACTTTGAGCTCAATTTCAAGGTACGTTTCATTGTAAAACCAATCAAAATCATCTCAATTTCTGTAATATGTCTTCCATTCTATAAAATGAGACCAGGAAAACTAGAATACCATCATAAATACCATACAAAAATAGAGTGCAAAGTCGCTGTTTTAAACCATAAACACGGTCAAAGTTTTTTTCTCATTACGCGCTGTGTGCTGCAGTATTTTTTTATACTGTGCACACTGACCACATAGACCCATTCTTTCATATGTAGGCCTACCAGCTTTCTCTCGCTAGATTTGAAGGTGCTAGAATTTAGGCATACTAGCACGTCAATAACCATGGTGCACAAGCCGTACTAGTACGTTGGAAGCCCTGAAAGGGTTAAGACTAACATAAAATTAATAAGGAATGACAATTTCTATAACTTTATACTGTCTCTTAGGTGTGTGTAGGTATAAATTTAGGAGTTACAATGAAAACAAGAGAATTTAATATCTTGCTAGTTCACGTTATATGGCTTTAATCAAGTTTACTTAATAAGGAATTACTAGTTTAATTATGACTGATTACAGGTGATGAGAATTCTAGCTTATTAACATAAAGGGGACACAATCAATGTTGTAATAACTGGGAGGATTACAGATACAGAATAAGATTATAATGTTTTACATGTTTGTGGATATGTGGTTTTTCACTTATTTTGCTGATGCTGGGATAAGTTAGGGAAAGGTGTTTTTTAATGGTAGTTTTGAAAATACTATCTGAGACAGTGGTTCTGGATATTTCTGGCAGACAATTCAGATTTCAGAACCTTTAATGTACACTGAATTTTTGAAGAGATTTAGCCGGACACAGGGAAAGTCATAGAGATTTTTGTGCCTAGTATTGCGTCTATGGGTCCTGTTTCAACTATTAACCCTTTGACTGTCGCAAGTCCCTTTCTGAAACTGTCATTCTATGTTGCAAAATTTTTTGAAAAAAAAAAAAAAAAAATTTCTTATGAAATGATAGAGAATCTTTTCCCAATGGTAATGACACCAAAAGTACGAAATTTGGTCGAAAAGTCATGGAATCACGCTCCTGCGAAGTTAGTGGTCTCGGCGACACATACGCATCAGCGATTTCACCGACTCTGAGCCCTGTTTTTGGCCAATTCCGTTGTTCCAGCTGACCAAACTCATAGCTATTTCTTTAGAACTCCATTTTTTTCTATCAGTTGAGTACAAGAAACCGCCCATTTTCTCAGTAGTAGTACCAGTTCCTAGTAACCAGTTGCCAGTAACCAGTGTACCAGTGGGTGACTCGCTACCAACCGTCTCTGCGTGAATCACTGACTGTATTGCTGCTGACCACAGCAGTATTCAAACACCCCCTCACATATGGGTACTGGGGTTAGGCAGTCTTACGAGAGAGAGCAAGGAGGCAGGTCACCGGCTGTTTGGCGCCTACCAATACTTACCGTTATAATTATACGTACTACCAGCCTACGTGAATATTTCTTTACCCTATCCACGTGTTCGAACCCCACATGATAATTTACTGATTTGAACTACACAATAAAGTGGCCAGAAATTGGCAATTTGGCCAATTTCATGCAAATTAAAAAAGGTGCTAATTTCAAAATAGGGTCCAGAGCAAACAATATAGACATTCTTGGCACTAAAATAGCATATCCTCTGTTCATTAGTCACGTCTCTAGGCTCCTCTTATATTACTATTGCTTTCTATTTTGATTTTTTATTCATACAAAAAATACAAAATTTACTGTTATGCAGACTACTGCATTATTGTAAAAATGGTATAAATAATATCAGTGCGCTAGTGAAAGAATATTAGACTCTCCAGTTAACATGTATTGGATGTGTGGTGTGATTTGCTTACTCTTGAACATCGGTAAAAATCGAACATTTCCGCTAATTTGAGCTCAATTTCAAGGTCGTTTTTATTATGAAACTAATCAAAATCATCTCTATTTCTGCAATATGTTTTCCATTTTATCACATGAGACCATGAAAACGAGAATACAACGATAAATACTGTACGAAAATACACCTCAAAATCAGCGTTTTAATCCAAAATCGTTCAGTTTTTTTCTCATTATGCACTGTGTGTTGCAGGATTTTTTTTATGTGGTGCACACTGACCACACAGACCCATTCTCTCACATGTGGGCCTACCAGCTTTCTCCTGCTTGATTTGAAGCCGCTAGAATTATTGAGTATATATACGTCCGAAACACTGGCTCATAAGATGTATATATAGGATCAAAACAGTCAAAAGGTTAAGAAAGTGTTTTAGGTCAAGAGCAATATCAGAATTTATGGTTCCATAAATGTAGGATGCTGGTGATCTTTTTTTTTTCATGTCTCATAAACATGTGAGATTTCAGGTACGTCTTGCTACTTTTATTTACACTTAGGTGACATTACACATATACAGTGGACCCCCGGTTCGCGAAGTCACTGGTAACCGATAAATCCAGTATCCGAAGCGTTATATCGCCAAAAATTGCCCCGGTTCCCATAACAAAACCCGGTACGCAATACGATTCGTACAAGACGTGTCCACATGTGGCCTGAACTGCCCCGTGTGTGCCAGTGTTTACAAGCCAGCCAGTGTGCGCGCATCTAAGGATACATTCGGTACATTCCATATTATCCATATTATCACTGTTTCTGGTGCTTGTTTCTGCAAAATAAGTCACTATGGGCCCCAAGAAAGCTTCTAGTGCCAACCCTTCGAGACCAAGGGTGCTAATGACTATTGAAATGAAGAAAGAGATAATTGCTAAGTATGAAAGTGGAGTGCGTGTGTCGGACCTGGCCAAGTTGTATAGTAAATCTCAATCAACCATCTCTACTATAGTGAGCAGGAAAACGGCAATCAAGGAAGCTGTTCTTGCAAAAGGTGCAACTGTGATTATAAAACAGCGATCACAAGTGTTAGAAAATGTTGAGAGACTGTTACTGGTGTGGATAAATGAAAAACAGATAGCTGGAGATAGCATCTCTCAAGCGATCATTTGTAAAAAGGCTAGGCAGTTGCATGAAGATTTAATTAGAAAAATGCCTGCAACTAGAGGTGATGTGAGTGAATTTAAGGCCAGCAAAGGTTGGTTTGAAAGATTTAAGAATCGTAGTGGCATACATATTGTGATTAGGCATGGTGAGGCTGCCAGTTCAGACCAGAAAGCGGCTGAAAAATATGTGCATGAATTCAAGGAGTACATAGAGGGTGAAGGATTGAAACCTGAACAAGTATTTAATTGTGACGAAACAGGCCTGTTTTGGAAGAAATTGCCAAGCAGGACCTACATTACTCAGGAGGAAAAGGCACTCCCAGGACATAAGCCTATAAAAGACAGGCTTACTCTTCTGATGTGTGCCAATGCTAGTGGTGATTGCAAAGTGAAGCCTTTATTGGTGTATCACTCAGAAACTCCCAGAGCATTCAAGCAAAAGAATATCCTCAAGGATAATTTGTGTGTGCTGTGGAGGGCAAACACTAAGGCATGGGTCACTAGGGACTTTTTCTATGACTGGTTACACCATGCATTTGCCCCTACTGTGAAAAATTACCTCCTGGAAAATAAATTGGACCTTAAGTGCCTCCTGGTATTAGACAATGCTCCTGGTCATCCTTCAGACGTGGCAGAGCGACTTTCTGCAGAAATGAGCTTCATTAAGGCCAAGTTTTTGCCTCCTAATACCACTCCTCTCCTGCAGCCCATGGACCAGCAGGTCATTTCCAACTTCAAGAAACTGTACACAAAAGCTATGTTTGAAAGGTGCTTTGAAGTGGCCACAGAAACTCTATTGACTCTAAAGGAGTTTTGGAAGGATCACTTTAATATCCTCAATTGTGTA